GGGGGTGCAGAACTAAAAGGATTTTCATAATAAATCCAATTAAGTTGTGTAAAATTACTGTACAAAATTGAATTTATTTTTATAGGCTGGTGTCATTAGTATCCCACCAAGGCCTACAGCACTTCCTACTGAAGCATGTACTCAGGAAGCAGATGGCAAGTCACCAGATACGAGTCCACAGTATAAGGAAGAAACAGCAATTTATGAAGAAATACAAGATGATTGTGTGAGCAAAGCAATTCCTTCTGGCCCACCTCCACCACCACCACGCTTTGATTCAAGTCCTGAAGATTCAAAGTCTCCTCCCATGTGTGCAACTCCTCCACCTTTACCTCAGCGTCAGTTACCTGCTCCTCCTCCACGACAACAACCTCCTCCTGTTCCTGATCGCTCTGCCCCCCCTCCAGTTCCTGCCAGGGCTGGAGTTCCTCCACCTATTCCTGCACGTGTTGGGCCTGTGAATGCATCACCAGCCCGGTCTCCACGTAAAACCGTAAGCTGAATGTATACTTCACAGAAATGTCTGAAGAAATACTCATATTTATATATGGTAGCATAAGCACAAGCAACTTTCTTTTGTGTATTTGAATACACAAAATTGGAAGAACAATAATTCATGCTATGATGTTGATTGTTGATTTTAGGTGTTTGCAGACTACTAGATATAATTTATATTTAATGTTAAGAATGTGTTCTAATTCCATTCTGCCCTGGTACTTCTTTTTTGTTGAGGTACATTATTAATGAAGTGCAACTGTTTATAAAACAGATTTTGTCTGCTTTGAAACCAATGGGATCTATATAATAGCTGACTGAAGAGTACTTTGTGTGTTTATACAATTCAAATATTTGTATCTTAGTAGACTATGTTGCCATGGTTTCTTTTCTCACTTTCCTTAATTTGGTTCTCCACTTTTCTTACATGAAAGAGAAGAAATGTATTAAACATGGCCTATCAGGTTATTTCAATACTTCTCTAAAAATATCTTTCTTTGAAGTAAATAGCAACATTGAGGGATGACCTCTAGTATGCATTGTGTGCAATACTTGATCTTTTGTGAATAACATACTATTCAGGATGTATGTATTATAATGCTCCCTGGTATGCAGAGAGAAAACAAATTTGGACCAAAATAGATATTACACTATACTGAAATACACAGGGTGTAAACAAAACGATTTAAGTGACATTTAAGAGTAACATATTGACATTTGATTTGAAAAAGTGTCCAGATACTCTACAGTTCTGTTTCTTGTTTTCATATGTTCATATCTTTGCATTTAAATTTTCTTCATAATAATGAACTAACTTACTTGTGATGACTACTATTTGTAAAACTAAATAGTTAATGCTTATATCATTTAACATAATTTTTCTTAGATGATACAATAGTAGGAATCTCGGCAATATCTCAGGGTGAAATCCATTATCTTGTGGCTGTATATAACTATCAAAGAAGACAAACCCAATTCTTTTTTTGACTAGTACTGTGTATGTGAATTTGTCCTATTCATACAGTAAGAGGTTGAATAAAACTTCATAATTGTGTATCTTGGACAGTGTACAGTGAATTAAAAACAAACCTGTTGCATGAGTCGCTTTTGTGACATTGTAAATATATATAGTTTTTTGAACGTTTCGTTTTTACCTTCTTTTTTCCTGTCAGGATGTTTTGGAGAAATTTAATTGTGTGTACAAATTTCAATATAGAAAATATTGGTTCACAATATTTCACAAGTGCTGAGGGAAAATAATATATTAGTGTATTTTTCTTGCTCAAATGCAAATGATCAGTTACTTTTTCCTGAAGTTAGGTTGTTGTTTTGGTACATATTTATTCCTTTGTAACATTCGTTGCACTATAAAAATTGATGGTTATAATGCAGTTCCACTTGCAATAATTTTTAATGAATCTCAAAATAATAATTGACATTCTAAAAATAGAAATTTGTTGCTGCACTGCATTAATAAAGAGTACTGTAAATGGCAAAAGTCAAGTATTATCTGGATAATACCCTTGTACCCAAAAATAAGAGAAAAAAATAATCTTTGAAGTGTACTGTATTTCTAATAGCAAATTGACATTATTTGGGTAAACATGTGTGTGATTATCATGTGCAACCTCATTGTGGTGTCTAAAATCTTTGTATTCGGGCCACAATTTGTTGATTAATATTCTTAATGTGAGTGCTAATCATTAGTATGTTTACCTCTCTATGGCATAGTTGTGTCTTGTAGGATATTAGTAATAGACTGTTTTGTATAGTAATTTTATTTTATTTTTCTGTGATCAATAGTAAACCTGATATTATGCCTCGTAAATATGATATGACTTATGGGCACATGACACTTTTAAAGTTGTCTGTTTATAGTGTGATCAAGAACAAGACACTAATAAAGTATTATGCAAAAATATTAGTGCACTGTTTGATATTATCTAATTTAGACCAAAACTTATATATATTGATAATCATTGAAAATATAATAGGCTTGTAAACTTATTAGGAAATAATATTGGTTAATTGGTAGTTGCATGTTTCTGTCCCTAAAATTACCCAGGGAAATATTGCTTTTTTGCTAGTACTATTTTTATGAAAAAATATATTTTGTGGTAGATATGAATTTTAGAGAGCTTTTATATTAATAGATGATATAAACATACATATACACATTGTACCATAGCATGTCTGGTAATGAATGAGTACTTTCAGTTCTTAACTTTGTTAGTTTCTGGCCAGTATTAGCTTTAAAAATAAACTGTTACTATTATGTGAAACATATTTATGGACCAGACTTTTAAATAACTTCCTGTTAATTTTTGGTTTACATTCCTCTTATGTTTTTGAAGTTCCTATTTAAGTATTTGACTGATAAATGAAAATGATTCAGTATTTGTTGACATTTATTAATATGCTATCAAGTAGTTAATATTAATAAATACAAGTTAAATGAAAATCTTCCACTAGTTTTTCATATAGGAAGCTTTTACATTACATTTGGATATTATTAAAATGTTTTCAGAATGTGGTGAATGAAATGCAATTGATGTGCAGTAATAAAATTATTGTACAATAATATAATTAAAGTACCTATATTAATTTTAAAAATCAATGTCCTATTTAATGAATGTGAATATCACTGAAATATATATGACAGCTGTAAGAATTGTATCTAGGTGGAAGAATTAAGGGTATGGTTTAGAGTAAAGTATTTTTGACTTGTTATGTATAAGTGTGTAACATGCAAATATGCTGTGACTTATAGTTTTGTATTTATGTGTCCAGAAGGAGAAAATTAAATGTAACAATGCAAGTACAATGTTTTTCTGAGTTCATTTTTACATTTAAACCTTGCAGAAAGCTTTCCCACAAAATATTTTTTCATTTATGAAGTCTGCTTTAAAAGTTGTTTTAATTTAATCTATTGTAATCCTTCCCACCCAGCTAGCTAATGAGGGGATGTCTTTAGAGTCTTAATGTGCTCATTTCTTCTAATAGGTGAGGGGAAGGGCTAGGATATCATGCACAAAACACAATTCTTTAAAAAACTAGTGGTGCTAGAACAGCACATACTTTATTGCAATATTGTTAATGGTTAATGATTAACATCTTAAGATGACAATTTTTGTCTTGCACTTCAGTTACCATTTGAAAAATTCTTCAACAAACAAAGCACAAAAAATTCAAACGTTTAAATGTAAACAGCTTTCTTTCATTAAGTGCAATGTATACACATTGGGCATGTACCAATGAAGTTCAATGTGTATTTTAGCCGTAAACAAAATGATAAGCTCATAATAACGTGAACCAGCAGTGGCTTGCAATACCACCTTCTGCTGCCAGTGCGATGATGACAAAGAAATAAAGGCTGCTGGTCCGCATGGCATGCATATTTTACAAATCAGCATTCTTGACACCACAAGCAACAAAATGGAAATGAATAGAAAAATATAATTAAATATAATATTGGTATATCCATCAGAACTACTTGTTTTCACACAAATTACCAATTTCACAAACATCCAATTGCCTCTGAACGTAATTTGTACGTGCTGAGTTGCTGCGTTTCAAACAAAGAGCAAGTGTTTAGAACTTTTTTTCCAGTTTTCGAAAATACAGTGTGCGGCGAAAATGGGACTAACATCGCTTTCTTTACTATTCTTTGCTACATACGTTAATAAGATTTAAAGAAAAAATTTGGAGCCGTTTCTGAGAAAATTGTTTAAAATGTAACTAGTGTTTGTACAACAGCACTTACTTTCTCGAAGTTCTTACTGCTCCACCCTATAGTAATATTACAAAAACCTGCCAAAGTATTGCTTTAGAGATCAATTTTTTTCCGCGCAAAGACTGGAACTATGATACTCCGAGTTAGTTCACCCTGAGACTTAGCACTATAGAACCGCTGAGAGTTTCGAACTCTGCCCGATGCTTAAAAGTGTAATTGTCTCAACTGTTTTTTAAATTGTACATTACCCTTTTGAAAGAGTTGATTTTTTTAGAACAAATTTTAGGGCAAAAATCGCTATCTTTAATTTTGTAGTTTTGACATGTAAAATTTTTGTAATTTTAAAAAATACGGAGAGTTTGCCGAAATTGGGATTAGCAAAATATATTTTTACTTTCTCGCTACGGAATAGAGAGAAAGTTATTTAAAGCTGCGCGAATAACCGGCGAATTTTTCGCCGAAAAACTCTTATTACAGGGCCCACGTAACGAGAAAGTGGATAAATACAGTTGCTAAATTTAGAGAAAATATCTCTATCTCGTGGTGAATGTTTTGTGGGTCCTTGATACCGAAAACTCGAATGACAGCAAAAGTATTCGTCCGTCTGTGAATAACGTTAGCGTCTAAACTGTTCAGCCGATTTTCTCCAAAATTGGTATTCCGCAATCGATTTGGCTGATGTCGCGGCCCCTTGAATTTGAAACCGATATTTTTATTACATTTTCCAAAAAAATGGCTCCATCGTTTTTTATTAAATTTTGTTGTTGGATAATGTGAAAGGCGTTTAATGGTGAAGGTCTCGTGTTCGTTGAAAATGATTTTTCGAAAATTGTGAAAATTCAAAACTTTTTCGGCGTCTTCCTACAACTACAATTATGAAGACAGATTTTTTCTTTAATGAAATGTGTTCCTTAAAGACACATTTTGAAAGAAGTTCATGTACATTTTTTTTGAAAATTTGAGTACTTTTGCGTGTTTTGCGTGAAAGTAAGGGCAAGAAAGTACGTGATGTTTTAGCACAACTAGTTTAGTACGAATTGAGGGAAACTTACAATTGTAAACTCTTGCGAACATTCTCAATATTTGAGACGGCATTCATGTTGATCAATGATACCCTGTTTTGTTATCTTTATGTAAAATATTATGTAAATAGTTTGTACCAATAGTTTCATATCTTACACAATTTAACGTATAGTGCAGTCTATTAGTCATTTTACCTAGCTAAAGGTGAGATAAAAGATTTTATTTTTTATTTTGTTTATATTGTTATTAGTAAGAAAACCCTGAGTTTTCCATATCGAACAATTTCGTACCAAAAAAACAAAAACAAAATCGACCTTTTTTTTTGTTTTTTGTAATAAATTTTCAATGGTTGATCTTAGTTCAAAAATAGTTAGTACAATTTTAAAGGTCATAAAATCCTTTCAAATTTGCTTGATCAATTATTTTTGTCAAGCAAATAGTAACAGAGCTTTGAGATTTTAAAATTTCACCAAATTTTCCTTTTTATTCTGAAGTTGCCCTAAATTACTAAAGGTCTCTCTAAGTTCTGGTAAAAGGGACTGTAGGCATATTCGTTCTGGCAACTAAAATGATTTATTTACATCAAAAATGACGTCCGTTTGTTTTTCTCATGAGAATAGTTATTATTATTATTATTATTATTATTATTATTATTATTATTATTATTATTATTATTATTATTCGCGTATGGGCAACTACTGGTAACGCAACACTTTTCTCTCTCCCAGACCCAGTTGTATTCTATCCTGGAGAGATCATGTGGAATAATAGGGATCAGTCTTTCGTCTGCATCCCTTGGTTAAGACAAGGTTGTTAGCCTTGAATATCAATTAGGGGGATAGGATGTTGTTGGTATTATTATTATTATTATTATTTTCACAGCTTTCTGGTACATGTTTCAGGAGTCACACAGGTATTTCTACAAAGCATGATCTCCATAATACAATAGTTTTACAAGCGAATTAATTTTAAGAGCTAATTCTACAAGTATTATAACATTAATTAATTTATAATTAATCATTTAAAACCAATTCTTGAAGCATAAATTTTTTTTTTTCCTATTAAATCTTCTTACTATAAGCACTTTCTCATATACATCTTTTCTCATGAATTGAATAATTATTTTCTTCTCTATGCCATTTATTCTCTATTTCTTGTAATTCTATATTTATCAACTTTTTCTTATATTACAATCTTAAATCTCCACTTCAATACATTCCACTTCTCTTTAAAATTTTTTTATTTCTCTTTACTTTTTAATTTTTCTTTTTTTATTTTTTTTTCTATTTTTTTTTTAGGTTACACTTCTATTTTCTATCATCCATACTTTCTTTTTATAATTATCGCCAATTATTACAGTCCTTGCTTTTTTTAGTTAACTTTTCTCCAATCTTACAATACACTTCCTTTCCATTATATGCTTTATATATTTTCTTGTCTCTATTAACTTTTTTATTTTACTGTTTATTAATTTTTATAATCACTTAATTTCACTTTTTTTTTCAATTGCTTCTTTTATGATTCTTTCCAATATCTTTGCCTGCTTTTGATAATGCTTTTTTTTCATCCTACCTTCACCCTTATTTATTTTTCTTTATTTTTCTTTTCCATACACCAAATCCCTTGCATATATCAATCGAA